TGGTTATTTTGAACTAACTATTACAATATCTTTTGTATATATGGTTATTTTGCACTAATTCCATCTTCATGAGCATACGCTAACCAAGCTTGACTTGTTTTATACATTCTTCTCAATACCTTTACAAGTCATCCCTGCCTTTACAACACCCATTAAATGAATATGACAGTCTTGTTCTACGATATGCATTCAATTAAGATCTTCCAAGAGGGTACATTTCGACTACCTTTAACTTGTTATCTATAAATTATTGTACCTAGTACCTCACATAGCTATCTATGTGCAAGGGAATATCTTGTGAGGATGAAATTCCACTACGTGAAAGTACAATTTGTAACTCCGGCGAAATTGTTGTTTTTGAAACCATATCAATGGATATCTTCATGTGTAAGACTTCCTTTATTCTTGTACTTTACTTGCTACCATTGCATCATCCAAATTACTTTACTTTGCTTACTCATAAATTTCATATCTTTTGCACTATAGGTTATAAATATTGTTGTTGTGAAGTTGACAAATAAACAGAGGAAAAAGTTTCCAGATAAGGATCACATGGTTTGGTACTTTTTGACCCATGTATCAGTAAGTTTTAGCCATACCTAAAGACTGCTCATATAGGCACAAGTTATTTATATGTTCACATTTAATATGCAGCAAAAGATATGGTGTCATCCTTTTGATGATACGATAAAAGACATAATAGAAATTATTTTGGAACAATGAGATACAGTGGCCCCCTTCATGATTGTAAGGAGGTAATGTGATAAAATATTACTACTACCTAATTTCCAAATTTACCTCGCACAAAATTTTCAGCAATGATTTTTTTTTCTTTCCTGCATGTACATTCCACGTTATATTTTTATATTTACATAACTTCAACCATGGGCAAAACCATTAGCCGTACTTGAATGTGAACATGGAAAAACGTGTTGCCTATCTATTCAACTCTCGCAAATGTAGTGAAAGCCATAAGGAATGAAGTAATCAAGCTAGATTATTGGTAAGTAACCATCATGATACCAATTGTACTATCTTTTGTGTTTCTTAATCTATGTACCTTACTACCTACCACCAACAACTACAATCACTACATAAGCTGCTTCAATACGCCCATGGAGAAGATTATGTTCAAGACGTTAGTTCATTTACATTTAGTGGTTGGAAGACATGCCACGTCAACATAACGACGACAGGTAATCCATTACACTCACTACAACAAATGACACTTTTGGCGACTAAATTTTTTTATTCATCAAAAGTGTAATTTGTTGTAGTGGTATCGTCCTTAATTTTGAAATAAGCATTACTGTTGTAATCTTTTAAGTTCATTGACTCTATGGTTACAACTATGCTCATTTCCAAAGCCATGATCGTGGTCTTTTCATCATCAAATGTATGCAAGGGAAACCTCTGCCTTCGGGTGTAATTCAGGTACCTATGTTTATACCTAACTGTCTACTTATCACTATCTTATATTTTACGATGACTAATTTTATGATGTGTGATGGTTTTTACGTACTCCCTAGTTTTGGCACATAGTTTCACTATTTGCATAGGGCTCACTTGTTACTTGATCTTGTGATATACAAGCATAATTCAGCTTCAATTGTTGGTGATATCAGTCGATATAAAGCTGGTGATGTTCTTTTCCTTTTTTTTTATTTAATTTTTCATGAGTTTTACAATCAATGACGCTATTGCATTTCTTAAATAGTGAATTTTGAGTTTATAACGCAACCTATTGGTTTCAAAATTACGTTCTAAAGCATGCTATCTTGTGCAGAAATTTGTCATGGGTTAAGAAGATTTTGTTCAGTTGATGATCTTTTGGTCTAAGACTTAGGTATGTGGCGGGCTTTCTATTGGAAGCAAAAAATGGTGATTGATTGATTAAGGTTTTTTGATTCCAAAAATATTCTATAGAAAGTAAAAATATTTGTTTCCTCTCCAAATTACATTTTTTAGTAAGGGTGTTCACAAAATCTCTAAATTTCTCTTAAGTAAATCAATCGACAGTGACCGACAGGGCTAGCGGTGGTGCCAACGATCAGCAAACACTAGCGGCGACATCAACGATTGGCAACACTAACAGTAGCAGAGGCGATCAGCAAGGTGAGGAGTAGTGAGAGGTAGACAGAGAGTTGAATGTGATATTTTGGGTGTGTGCATTAGGCTTAATTAGGAATTGAAAAAAGGGTCTTGGGATAGAGATTTGTCAACGAAATTAAGAGAGAATTTTGATTTGGACAAAATTTGGGTGTTTGTTCCAAATTTTTGGAGAAAATTGTTTGAGGGAAAAATTATGGTAAAATTAAAAAAAAGTTTAGTAACAATTACAAATAAAAATATTCATCAATAGAGTCTTATAATAAAATAAATTATTAAATTATAATTTTATTAATTATACTATAAAATTTTTATTTATTTTTAACATAAATTATTCACCTATTTTTATTAAGTAAAATTGTCGAACAAAATAATATTTTAGACATCAATAAAAAAAAATGTATAACCACATCATTAATTGGCGTACAAAAATATTTAAAATTTTAAAAATCACAAATATCGTAATTAAGTCACAAAAATAGAAAATACGTAACTACGTCACTAATTGGCGTAACAAAATTGTTCGAAATTATTAGAAATCAAGTCACAAAATTTCATAATATCAACTACAAATTGCGTAACTATCTACTAATTGGCATAACAAAAATATTTGTTTTTTTTTAATCACAAATGTCATAACTAACTCACAAAATTTGGTAATATCAATTACAAAATGCATAATTGCATAGTATTTAATTCTTTAGTTCCAATCCTCTAAACATAATCTAAGGAGTAATATTATAGGGGTATTTGGGATGATTTAAATAAGTATATTTTTTTGATTTTTTATGAAAAAATGTATAGAAAAATATAGAGGTGATGTGACCCAAATAAGTGCACTTATTTAAATAAGTGCACTTATATGGGTTATGCCATGCAATTTTTTTGGGTTTTTTTTTTGGACCTATTTTTTTCTTTAGTGAAATTTTTTAAAAATTTTTCAAAAAGCTTTAGGTTTGTAGATTTAACTCGACAAGATGAACAAGCAAATTATAATTTTTTTAAAAAATCCAAAAAAAAAATCGAAAAAAGACAAAAATAAGCCAAAACAAACAATATTTTTGGGCTTATTTTCGACTTTAGTGATTTTTTTTTTGGAATTTTTCAAAACGAAAATATACTTTTTAGATTCGTCTTTGATAAGACGGACATGAAAAGTAAAAAATTTTCACGTAATTTTTTTAAAAAAATATTAAAGACAAAAAAATTCATTTTTTTTTTGTTGTTGTTGTCAAAATAGGCCTTAAAATTCTTATTAAAACACGTGTCAAACTATCATTGGATATTCATTGTATTTTTGGCAAATAATCATATTTTAGCATCTTATATTTTTTAAAAAGATTTTTAACAAGAGTCTCATTAATTATAAAATTATTCTAATCTAGGAGTTTTTGTTCATCAAATGTATTAATTAATAAATTAAGGGAACAAAATTGTTTTTCACACCCTCAAAGAAAAAGGTTGGTGAAGAGAACAAGTGTGGCCCCAAGGAAACAGAGTAAAGATAGTTTGGTTTTGGACAGCCTCAGCCCAACACACCATTAAAAAAATAATAAGAATAAATAAATAAATAAATAAATTTGGAGTGCCTGTTGTCTTGGGCATAGCAGATACTGTTGTGCTGTCTTATAAGTGTATTGTAGATTCTATTTAAATAATTTAAATTGTTCATATTTTAAAGTATATCGAGTAAAATATAAATACAAAAAATCAAGTTAATTGAATATTATTAATTCTTTCATCTATTTATATTTGTATTTTTAAAAATAAATGATATTATAATTTAAAATATTAAAATAAATATAAAGGTGAATAGATGAAAAAATTAATTAATTTTTTAAAATATTTTCTACTTTAATATTTTCTAAAACATGACCTATTCGAATCATCAAAACCGCCCCGTAATAAGTCCACAAAACAAGAGAGCAGCCCCCCAAATCCAAAGAAAAACTTCATGAAAGGGATACAACAGTCAAAAATCAAAAAGTGGTGACCTTTATCGGAACCCCACTATTTTACCTGCAGAGAAAGACTTTTGATTCGTTCTCTTCTCTTCTGTTCTGGGTTTTCATCACAAATTCAGACATTGTATCAAGACAGAGAGAGAGGTTGTCTTATAGGTTTATTGTAGATTCTATTTAAATAATTTAAATCGTTCATATTTTAAAGTATATCGTGTAAAATATAAATACAAAAAATCAAGTTAATTGAATATTATTAATTCTTTCATCTATTTATATTTGTATCTTTAAAAATAAATGATATTATAATTTAAAATATTAAAATAAATATAAAGGTGAATAGATAAAAAAATTAATGATATTCAGGCCAAGTTTGGGAAGACTAGCCTCCGTTTGGCAAGAAAAAGCCCAGGTTTTTTTGGCTAAAATAGCCACAAAAAACAAAATAGGCTATTTTAGCCACAAAAAACAAAACATCAAATCTAACCCATAATCATTACAATCCTCTCTCACAAAAAAAGCCAAAAAAGCCAAAAAGTCAAAAAGCCCTTCCCAAACCAGGCTAAAATAGCCCAGGCTAAAATAGCCAAAAAGCCAAAAAGCCAAAAAGCCAACCCACTTCCCAAACGGAGGCTAAATGAGTGCACTTTTTGACTTTTTATAAAATATGTGTTAGATTTGGATTGAGTTTGAAGTGATGTGTTAGAGAGGTGATGTGACTTAAATAAGATGATATAACTTAAATAGGATAGTGACTTTTTGACTTTTTAAATTTTTTTGAAGATGCCAAACTTAACCTCAATTAACTTAATTTTTTAAAATATTTCCTACTTTAATATGTTCTAAAACATGACCTATTCGAATCATCAAAACCGCCCCGTAATAAGTCCACAAAACAAGAGAGCAGCCCCCCAAATCCAAAGAAAAACTTCATGAAAGGGATACAACAGTCAAAAATCAAAAAGTGGTGACCTTTATCGGAACCCCACTATTTTACCTGCAGAGAAAGACTTTTGATTCGTTCTCTTCTCTTCTGTTCTGGGTTTTCATCACAAATTCAGACATTGTATCAAGACAGAGAGAGAGAGAGAGAGAGAAAATCTGTATGTGTATATACATGTAGAGAGAGAAACAGACACCTTTATTCATGTTTATGGATTTTGCTGTATTGAATTGATCTGTGTAGTGTAAAGTCTCTTTATTTCTCTCTCTTTCTAGGGCAATCAATGGCTGATCACGACGATTCCTCTCCTCTCGTTGCCCCTTCTCCGATCACCGACCCCAGCGAGATCGACCTCGAAGCTGGACCAGGTGAACAAATTCAATGTCGAATTTGCCTCGAAACCGATGGTAATTCACCTTCCTTTTACGTTTTGCTAATTTACAATTTTTTTTTTTTGTTATTCCATGAAATTCACCTGAAGTTAGCTCCTTTAAAGTTATCTATGGGTTTTTCTATAGTTATGTGTAAATTCAATGAATTGCTGATGTAATGTCAGTTATACTGTCAGTGCTGAACTCATGAATTTTGCTGAGGGAAGCAAATGAAGAGTCATTAACTTCTTACATTCATAATTTATCAACTAAGTATATTAATTTTATGTTAAAAAGGGGTTACTGTTAGTTATAATTCATAAAAATGAGAGAGAGAGAGAGAGAGAGAGAGAGAGAGAGAGAGAGAGGGAGAGAGAGGGGAGTGAAAGGAATTGTATGCACAATGGAATTTTAACATTTTTTGTTATGATTCTTTATACCCATGATCATGTTTTTAAAATTTACAAAGCACAAATTCAACTGTCCATAGGATAAATATCTTAAATGCAAAATGCAATTATGTCCTCTTTCTCTGAGTTCACTTGAATATAAAATTGTTCAATTGCCTGGCATCTGGAAGTATCAATATGAAGAAATTCTTGAACACAAAAATACTCTCAAACTGTACATGCCTTGTCTAGAGTGCAGGGGAGAGATTATCAATTAGAGTGTTTGCTTTTTATGAGAGTTCCCCATTTATAGAGTAAAGAAATCTTGTTCCGTTAGTATTAGTTTACGTTTGTCTCAAAAGGAGATTTTGGAACGGGTGGTAAGGTGAAATTACTAAGAGCATCTCCAACGGTGTACCAAAGTTTCACCAAATCTGAGTCAAAACTGGGTCATTTCCTTAATTTGATACTTCGCGCTCCAACGGTTCAACATCAAATCCGTTTCATCAAATTTGCGCTGGGCAACCGGTTTCGACCGGCCGGTCAACCGGTAACGGCAAATTTTTTTTTTTTGTTTTTTTTTTTTTTACCGGTTTGAACCTTTTTTTTTTGAACTTTTTGAACTTTTGGTGGTCGACCGGGTGGTCAACCGGCCGGTCGACCACCTAGGCAAATTTTTTTTTTTTTTGGACTGGTTTCAACCTTTTTGTGAACTGTCTGAACTTTCTCCGGGGCGACCGGTTGGTCAACCGGATGGTCGACCCGTTCGTCTCATCCCAACGGTTAGGAACAGTGATTTGGTGAAATGCTTCGCCTGCACTCAGTTTGGTACCATATTTGCTGAATTCTGGATTTGATATCGATTTGGTGAAAACGTTGGAGCTTAAAAAAGTGGCTTTTTCACCAAATTTTAAATTTGATGCCAGGTTTGGTTCACCGTTGGAGATGGTCTAAGACATTTTTTTGGGGGAAGGAAGGGGGAGGGCAAAATACTATTTTTCTATCATAAATACCCAAACTGAAGTAGAATCTATTCTATTATAATTTGTATAAAGCCTACTACTAAGTGAAGCTTTGTCACAGCCTTTTCATTCCCAAACTGCCTTGCAACTACCTCAGTTTTTTATTTTAAATTTTTATCACTTCTTCATTTTTCTTCTTCTCTTCATTTACATTTTTTTGCCAGTTAGTAAAAGACCAACTGATTGATTTTTATAGCATACTCATTGGGTGTGCCCCTCTATGTGTCCACCGTTGACTGTGGTAACTTGTTGAAGGAAGTTGGCGATGTAATGTCAATTATTGCAATGTCGATATTGTTTTCTCATAGTCTAGTAATTTGATAGGTTATTTTGATAATGCCAATTTTATTGTAATGCTAATTTTGTTTTCTCAAATTTTAGTAATTTGATAAGGTTATTTCGACAATTCATGAAAAGTAAAGAAGTCATTTTGAGTATTTTAATTGCTATCTTCATTTTTGTTATTAAGTATTAAAACAGTGCCTTAGCAATATCAATGTTATATAGTTCTTATATCTGACACAGTTGTTGTCAATTATACCAGTGGTGTTATAATTGTGTAATTTTGTTAAGTCTGCGATTTGATTACTGTCCTAACAGCAAATTTGACTGGACCACTTTAGGCTGATTTAATGTGGTTCAATGTTTGCTTCAGGTAGGGATTTTATTGCACCTTGCAAGTGCAAAGGGACGTCAAAGTATGTTCACCGGGAATGTCTGGATCATTGGCGAGCTGTGAGGGTATAATTATCATCTTCCTTGTGTTGTTCCGCAATATAATGTCCATATCGTGGTATTGTTCTAGTTTGATTGTTTTCTCTGTTTTATGTAAGTTTTTTGACATAAATTTTTTTCTCAAAACTGATTTAATCCATTTAGGCCAAACACATACCAATGCACACACTCAGACATACAGTGAAGCATACATACCTTCTTTTTTTTTTTCCCTTTTATATTTACTTTAAGGAAAATACATAAGACCCCTACAACATTACCCCTAAATTTACCCCAATGACGTGGACTACTATTACATGTTAATTGTTGATTTGTTTAGACTAAGATCCAACTCCCTGCCACATCAATGTGGATAAATTTAGGGGTGATGTTTTACGGGTCTCTAGCTTCACTCTTACTTTAACTGTCTGATGCAAGCTGTGTACATTAGTTGATGATGTACAAACTACTATTTTTGCTTTAGACTGTTTCATAGTGATACTTGCTAATTAGTGATTGCATGTGCTTTGTTATATTACCTTTTCATATGCCACAAACAACAGGTTTACTTCAATGTCTTTGTTCATAACTTGATAGAATACATCAATCCACTACTTAAAAGTAAGAAACTTTTATTATACACCACCATACACACTATCAAAAATTACTTCAATGTATTTGTTCATAACTTGATAGAATACATCAATCCATTATTATACACCATACACACTATCAAAAAATATAGAAACCATAAGGGTTTAGCATAGAAGCAACAATGATAAGGACATGCATGGTAAATCTGAAAAGTTTGTAAGGAGGCTCTTGTGGATAGTTTCCACCTTGAGGCTGCTTTTCCTTATCTTGTTTGGTATTTAATGGCCATATTGTTTTTAGTTTGGTTGTTTCTATATTTTATGCAAGTTGTCTAACATTAAAAAATGTGATTGATCCTATTAAACCCAGTTTTGGCTGAATGTACATACGGAGACACACACATTGAATTGTGTTCACCAAAAGCTTGTACAATAGGCATCTCTTATGGAATTACATATTTTCCTTAATCATGTCATGCAAGCCTTTATGCATGTTCACATTTTGTTTGTATAAATTACTATTTCAAGCTTCCATATGAAGTGGAATCATGGTGCCATAGTTTGAGCTGTTGACTTTGCCTGTTACATTTAGTATATACATGCAATTGTTTCTTAAATCTCATTTGCTTAGTTGTACGATAGTGTTGTAAGTTTAGCTGACTGTCTCATTTCTTACAGGAAGGGTTTGCATTTGCTCATTGCACAACCTGCAAGGCTCCTTATCATCTAAGAGTCCATGTTCTTGCTGATAGGAAATGGCGAACCTTGAAATTTCGGTTCTTTGTGACTAGAGACATTTTATTCATATTTCTCTCTGTTCAGCTTGTAGGTCTTGTTCCTCTAATTTGATTGGTCTTCCTCATTTTTGTTTCTTGAGTACATTGAAATTCTAGAATGATGTTCTGAAAATTATGTCTTCATGTTCCATGATGCAGGTGATTGCTTCTTTGGCATATTTGGTTTATCTAATTGATGGTTTCCAGAAGTTCTGGCTTCGTCTTGCATGGGGTTTTGATAGTGAATTTAGTTTTTACTACATATGTGGTAAATTCTCTGAACTCAATTATAATAATGGTTATGAAAATGGCATATGTTTTTTATTTACCCATTAGTATAATTGAATTCTTATGCCAGGTTCTTGATTAAGATAATCGCAGACCCTGTCCAGATCTATTCCGCCACCCACCTTTTTTTTTTGGTTTGAGAAAGAGAGAGAGAGAGAATTGATTCTGACTCCATAAAACGATTGGATGCTCGTCAGCTTTAAGGTCTAAGTGCTGAAATTAAGTGATCGTAAGGCATCGGATTTGTTGGGACTATGAAAACACTTAAAAGACTTCTTGTCTGTCTTAACAGAAAATGATTTGAAGCATTGACATTACATAGAAATTAAAAACTAGAGGATACCCTTATTTCTTGATTTTTTTACCTAAGTCAAGAGATTTGACTTACTATGTTGCATTTTCAAGTTGCTGAAAATATTATTTTGTTAAGTGTTGGTGGTTCTCTGTTCTTCCAATTTGTTCACTCTAATTTTCTCCTGATATTCGGTGCACTTTAATTTGTTCACATGATGCAATAGTGACATTTTAAATACACCATTTAACAAAATGATTTGACAGTAATATACTGCAGTTATGAAACTACATGAACAGTTGTCTAGGAACACACACACACACATAACATTCGCATGGACGTATAACAAAGTAACACATGCATATGGTTGGTTGTATTTGCCCGAAGTTGAAACACAAATAGCAAATAGAAGATCTCATTTGCATTGGTTAAGAGAAGATTTTATTTTTTAATTTTTTTAAAATTCTGATGCTATTAATAAATATCAATACAATCAACTGACATAGTTTTGGGCATATGGCTACAAATCCTGCTATAAGCAACAATATCACTGAAATCCTCAAGAAAGGACATGCACAAGCAGGTGTTAAGAAGGAGATCAACTGGTGAATCATTACAGCCCTTGAATTTCCCATTTCTAAACATATGTATGCATCTTATTCATATGTTTATATAGAGAGAGGTGGGTGGGTAGTTCCTTGCTCTACAAAATAACTATCACTGAAATCATGAAGAAAGTTCATGAAAATGTGCTGTTAAGAAGTAGATTAATTGGTGACTTGTTAGAACACTCAAATCTCTTCTTGTAAACATCTTATGTATTCATGCATCTTATGTATTCCTGGATCTACAACAAAGTACAACCACAATAGAAGGGCGTAGTGTGGATGGCATTTTTCATAGGCTGTTGAGAAAATTGAGGCACATCTTTGCCCTCAACTTGCTTTTAGCACAAGGAGGACTAAACTGGTGCTATGTGAACCAGTAACAATCTCTATGTATTGTCAATTGTAAACACGATAATATCGAATTTTAGAAAGGTGACTGTTTGGCTGTTTTGTGGTGTTTTAGTTGGCGGCACCGTGGTTAGTTGATGGTCTAGGCATTCTGCATCCGCATTCAGATTCAAATTGTTCTTAGGACATTGGTTTGGAGCGAATGTTTATCATGCATATCAAAGCATAGATTTATGCTATCAAAGGAATAAAAGCGGCATTTGCATGATACATGACTGTCACTTCCTACTTATGCATCAATGCTTGAATTCTGGCCATGGTATGTTAATGCATATTTTATTATTGTTGGTGATTACAGGGGCATTGTTGTTTTTTGCTCTGCTGGGGTTATCCGGTTGCTTTATAACTTGTTATGATCGAAGAGTGCGCAATGATCTCGCTCAGCCGTGTCGAGAATTGTGTCTTTGTTGCTGTCAGCCCGGGTATGTATCTGTTGCATGGTATTATGGACTCTTTGACCCCACTTGATGAGAATGATTCATCTTACTTCATAGTTTTAGCACCATTTTTTCAGCTGCAACAGTCTTAAAAGTGTTACTTGTGACATTTTTTCTCGTCACACGTGTGAAGGGAGCAATGCATCTTCCCTCATAGGCTTTGTCTTCTTTTTTTTTTTTTTGAAACAATAATTTTTTTGGTGGTTGACTTGTTTTCTGAACTAAAAGTCTTTAGTTGTATTTCTCTTGGTCTATGTATCCAATTGTCAAACTACAAGGGTTAGAATTTTCGAGAGTTTATTGCATTCTGAGTTTTGCTTATATATTTGAATATTAATGGGTTTATTTGTGGGGGCCCATCTCATATTGGCTTTGAAGGTTTCTGTGCTTTTGTTTTGCTTCCTTTTGAGTTTTGAGGGTTGCTTAGTAGATTGTGTCAAGATATTTAGATGAAGTGTTATCTTTCACTTATCCTAAGTCTGCTTTTTTTAAGAGAAAGGGAAGTCTCTTAACCACAACAGGGCAAAAAATGCCTTTGAATCAAAGAAAGATTGGCTGCACGAAATACATCTCTGTGTCAAAACTGTAATTCAATCAAACTTTTTGTTGGAAATTTGATCTGTTTCCTTTTACACGTGACTTTCAATTCTCATCCCTTGCCACTGGGGAGTATGCTGGCTATATTACCATTAGGATGTTGAGTGTTCAGGACTCATATCCTCTAAAGTTGTCCTGCTGACCACTTTACAGTAATGAATGTGCTGTAATATCTCCCTTCACTTTGAAGATTCCTCTAATTGAATCTCATGAATTCCTTCGTTCGTTTTAGTTACTCTTTGCTTTTATATCTTGGGTCTCAATAAAACATGCACAAGAAGAGAAGTGTAAGTGGCTTTCGAGTTTTTGAATACTTTTTTAGTCTAATCTATTTACTTAGAACATATCGTACAGGGTAGTATTTAGGTGTAGCAGTGCCAAAATAGCACGGTTTAGCAACCAAAAAAAGAAAAAAAGAGCTCACATTAGTAGTATTTTTTGCACTAGAAACCTCCGTGCTATTTTATATTACTCCTTTGACCAATTAACTTTTTTGATAAAAAAATACATGTATATTATGATAAAATTTTAATTTATGACTAATTACAACTATGTCATGTGAAGATAAATTGAGCGTTAATTTAGCATAAAAAAATTAAGATAGATTGAAGGTGACGATAAAAAATTACATTTATCCATATCACCGTCCATTTATTTTGTGACTTTGACTTAAATTAATGAATTGAAGAAATATTAAAAATATGATGGTTGCATAATGGTAGTTGATAGATAGGTATACAAATACAAAAATAGTATAAAAAAATACTACACTATTGGAGGGAGCGTCTGTGCTATTTTAACATAATAAATACCACATGCCACTGGAGCACCACGTATTAAATTTTTATATAGTGCACTTTTGCTATGCTAAATAGCAGAAAATATGCAGCATCACTGGAGATGCTCTTATGTTCAGAAACGACTGCCCCTTGTGAACAGAAAAAAAAGTACTTGAATGAGAAATTTTGCTTCTGTATGCTTTGTGTGCGCTTTTGGCATATGATGGGGGAGGATTTTGATATTAAATTGATGTTCCATCTACTGCTTTAATGATGGTGATCATGTGTTTATGATGCACCCTATTAAGACCTGAGAGATATAATTGCGAAATCTGTTAAATCCTTGTCAGAATATCATGCAGTAGGTTATTTGCTAATTGTTGGTGTAGCTTCTGGAATATGTATATCTGTGCACATATATGTATATTTTTATTTATTTATTTTTCAAACATCTATGTAAGAGTAGTGAGTGTGCTTTGATTTATTTGGGTATAAGGCAAGGAGGATTAAGAGCAGCCTATAATCATGCAGTAGGTGGACATGTTTGATGAAAAGCAATTCACTCAATGTGCCAGAGCTGTGCAACCTTTACAAGAGTAGAAGTGAGAGAATGCGAGAGCGTTGATTGTAAAAATACATTGACAGCAGTTCCTCATATACATTTATTTTTGGGCAGTGCTATTTGCACTCCTGTTTTGTACCCGTACAGTCCTTTTCTTGTCTAATTAGGAGTAAAAAGACAAGAATGCCTAATAGTTTGAAGAAGGGCATGACTGTCTTTTTACTTCTAATAAGACAAGAAAATGAGTGTATTGTTACAAATGGGGAGTGCCAATAGCGATGCCCTTATTTTTATGCATCTACATAAAATAAGTTATCAGTGTGCGTCCAAAAATTTGTAGAGTTGAAAAATTGACCAAGCTAGAACAAATGAAAATGGCTAAAAAGGAAAGAACACAAAAATTCAGTAGTCTGGTGGGTTGGACCATAAATAATTGGTTTTAAGGATTTTCTTTAGCTCTTGGAGTTACATATTTAAACCTTGTATGTTATCTATTTATACAAATTAAGAGTTACATGGAAACACAAACGCTTGAAAATCGCATAACTGATTGGAAGTAACTCATTGGGGTAGTGTTGCCACTTTTCTTATGGGTGTCAGTTAGGGATCCCTTTCCCAGTTTGATTTGTCCTGTTGCCTTTTAAAAGGCAAAATGGATGAGAAGAGGGATTGCTTGTGATGCTGTACATGATTGGCAATGGGTAATACTTGAAACAGTTCAAAATTTGCTCTGCCAATATAATTGATCTATGGATTGACATCATCAATGAATTGTGAGTGCATCTGCCTCCCTTGTTGGATTATGGCGCTTAGAGCAGACACTTTCTATTACCAGTACATAAGCTACATTAATCTGATTATTGCTGCAAAAATTTCTATCTTCTTAGATACAAGGTCATGTTAACTCTTTAATGTGCATCAATTGGATATTGGTGGATGACGAAAACTAATTTTGTTTTATGTCATTGTTGCAGAATGTGTGCAGACTGCCATTTGCCAGGGACTCTTTGTATGTGGACTGACTGTACCACATGCTTTGAAAGTTGTGCTAGTGCAGCCGGTGAATGTGGTTGCTTAGGAGGTGCCGGTGAAGCTGGATTACCGTTGCTATTCATTATGGCTCTGATTGTGCTGGGACTATTTACCGTGATTGGTATATTCTACAGCGTACTGGTGGCAACTATGGTTGGCCAAAGAATTTGGCAGCGACACTATCACATACTCGCAAAAAGAATGTTAACAAAAGTGAGTAGGAGTCGCTTGTTCCCTCTTTTTATCTGTGCCGAAACACTTTAGGTTGTCAGTAAATGATCATATAGTGTACAAAGCCTTGAATTATGACATTGCCTTGCCCATATATGGAGGGAAAAAAAAAAGGGGGACTTTGGATGGGTCACTCAGAAAATTTGACCAACATTTCACTTGGTCAAACAGAGTAATTGTTCAATGATTTTGATCAGACCAATCTCAATGATTTTGAATCGTATTGCACAGGTAGGGTTCAAACTTAGATGTGTGATAGAGGAGTCATGTTAGGACCACTGGTTTGAGTGGGCATATTGGACATCCTAGGACCTAGCAAAGTGTAAACAGAGCATTTTTATGTGAAAATATTCCCCTCTTAACCTAACAGGAGGTATTCTCTGCTCTTTTTGGCAGTTGGGATTCAAATGCTGTTAAATACATGCATTTATGCATGTTTGTTAGATCAAATCACATCGTTTGTTTCCTGCATCTCTCAGTTTGAACTCTACGTAGGATTGTTGACTCAATCTTCTGTCTTGTTTTCTTCTCTATTTTTTTTCTTCTTATTTTTGAATTACTTTGAAAAACAAGAATGAGGGATTCTCAGACCTCCAGGTCCTAAATCTAATTTTGGAGGTTTTTTTTTTTTTTTTTTTTTTTCACACTTCTAATATTAGCAGTTTCTGTTATTTCGATATCTTTTTTACCATGCATATGGCTGCCTAGTTTTAATGAAAGAACCGAGAAGTTATATTTCAAAGTTCAACTTTTGCTAATGGAAGGCCGATTTTTGTTATACTATATATAATTATTAAGGTTTCAATGTATTCTGACAAGGATTGTTTGATTTACGCATTCTCTCTCTTGTAACTTTCACGAATGTTATATTTTGCAACAATCACTGATATCATTCTGAAAGAGTGCTTTTAATTCCTTAACTAGGAATATGTTGTTGAGGACGTTGATGGCGAGATGAATGGATCTGATTGGTCTCCCCCACCTCTCCCACCTGAGCACGTTCAACAGTTGAAAACACTTGGCCTTCTATAAATCCGAAGAATGTTCACGGGGAATGCACGATGTAGAGATGGACTGGCTCTCCCCATTTAAGCTAAGGTCAGTCTTTTTGTATGGCAGCGGCTGAGCAAGAAATTCTACACCTTTGATGTTGTCCAGTTATGTTGATAAATCTGTGAATGATGCTTACTACCTTTCAAAAGAATACTTGGGGTTGCTACAATTATTGTCATTTTACTTTCTTCTGTGTAACAAAACTGGAATATCAATAATTTCATATAATAATAATAAAAAAAAATCTGATAGTTTTTCATGGGAATGCCTTCTTTGCGCATATGTTATTGACTTAATTATCCATATATGGTTCTCCAATTTGATAAGCTGATTTTTCTTTTAAAAAAAAGTTGAGGTTATATGTGTTGCCTATGACATTTTCCATGATGCATGTCTCAATATTTTCATTTCAGCTACATATGTAAGATTATCCCCCAAAAAGTGATATCTATTGCATATGGTATGTGAAATTGGTGGTAACCAATCTTTGTTTTTGTATTGAGTTTTAAATACAGGTTTGTTTCTTCTTTTTAAGTACACACGTTATTTTCTGTATGTACACGCATGTTTTTCATTCGGAAATTAACTTCTGAACGAAACTATTTAATTTGGTTGTATCGTTTGTTTGGAAGTTGATTTCTGAATTAATGAATTTTTGTATAGAAATTAACTTTCGAGCAAAAAATTCAAAAAATAAGTGCAAATTGAGATAACATCGCGTGTGGAAATAGAAACTTCTCATGGCTATGATGTCCAGCTTGTGCCCTCGTGAGAGGATTCTATTTTATCTGTCTTTTTGTAGAATTATTTAGAATTTTAAATCTAAGGTACATGGGGGAAGTGTTTGGGTGTGCAATCATGTTATATGCAAAATTTTCAAAATCACGTAAATTTTTATGAATTTAAATAAGTAATTTTAAGAAAATATGTAAGTTAAATACAAATTTACACAAGTCTATTTATAAAAGTTTAAAGATTTAGAAAATCACACAAGTTCTCATAAGCTTATATAAATTATCTCACAAAAATATATAACTTAAATCATAAAATTACATAACAAAAAATATATACATATGAGATGCAATACAATCCAAAGAGTTTTCCTATATATAGATTTAAACTTCTTGTTATAAAAAGTCACATCGCGAATAATTTGTAGATTTTAATTTTTAAATATTTTTTCTAAGTATATATTATTCCACCTGTATCGCTGGGCTTTGCTCCTCTCGCAAAGGTCCAAACTATGAGTGACAAGCCACGTGCACCCATGTTCCAAAGCAAACATTATTATTTTTTAAGAAAAATAACAATTCCAGAGGTACATGGGTTTGGATTGATTTGTTGGGTGGACTCGATGCGGTGGGTGGGAATTTGTTAATTTACGTAAAGGCACATAAGTTATTTTAAATAAAATAGACCATTAATAGGCAAGCCATGACATTAATGTAAATGGGAGATGCTATGATGTGTGTACGAGTAAGAAATAATCTTCTCATATAATTCTATTGATCAAATTTGTACTCTTCCAAACGTCATCACGTTACTCCCTCAAAACACAAACGTGAGCTAGCCGGCGGGTGTGTGCCGGATACCTCTCCGATGCCTAAGTCAGCAAAATAGACAAATAGACCAAAGTTCTTTGTATTCGAGAATCAAAGTTGTGTTATCTCTCCATAGGTGATATTATGAGTTTTTATAGGTTCCGCGTGGCATAATCCTAATAGGACTCTTATTTCTCCATGCAGAGTCCTCCTAGGAATCACACTCCTGAAGGGTAATGCTTATCCTTCAACACCCCCTCACTGTTTAAACCAAGTGAGATGGTTTTACCTCGGTTGGATGTCAATACGTCCGAGCTAACATGGCCATGCTAAAGCCACAGACTAGACCGAGCCCCAACTAGCTCGGTTCTTCCTTTCACTACGTGCGCCTCGGTTTGACATACTCCAACTGGGCTGTTTATTTAGTATCGAGCTAACCAAGCTTGGTGTTCCAATGCACAACAACAAGCTAGCTAGGCTCTCGTACAGTTGTACCTCGGTTGCCTGTTGAAACCATGCTATCCATAGCGTGCCCAGACCGAGCTATTCAACAGCAAGGTCCTGATTACAGGCCCACAATACCTCCGCTCAGTTTGGTTTGACCGAGCTAACTGTCGCCGCTCTGACCATGTCGATCGAGCTAACTACAAAGCTCTTTCGGACCGGGCTACTTGCAAGGCTCCTCTAGACCGGACTAATTACAAGGCCCTTTTACTTAGCCCTTCTTACTGTGGCCCACAAAATGGCTCATTACCCAACTTGGCCCAATTTACATATAAATTACCCTCTCAATTGCCCATTAATTCCATCTGCATAGCATGATAGGGATTACCTGTTACCAGCCGAGCTAAGAAAAGTTTTAGTCTACCAACCGAGCTAAATTCATACCATGCTATCAATTTTTTCGGTCAAATTGTCTCCTCAGTTGTTGTAACTGAATCGCTTCTTCTCCCAAGAACACGTGGCACACTATCATTAGCCCAATGCAGTTGTCACGTCGTCTTCGTATTTCGCGTAATTTGAACAGTCCCGCCCAATTTCTCCTTCTTCACACAAAAACCACTCATTTTGAATCTATCACGTCTACTATTCATCATTTCCTCTCCTTTTGAGCTTCTTCTACCTTGTTCTCTTGCAACTGTGGAGCTCGTGTTCTTGCTGGGATCTTTTTCACCTTTGGTCCCTCCATTTTGAACTGGTAAGTAACTCAAATCTGTTTTCTGTTTGCTGATATCGTCCATGTTTATATAGCATGCTTAGTTGTATGTTTTTTCAAAACATATGCCATGTTTGCTTCCATTTTTCTGTAAAAAACCATGTGATAGAACCACTTGTACTCATGAATAATCTGAAGAACGATGTATTTGACCCAAAATCACACACCAACCGAACTAGGAAGTTGTTTTTATTAGGTGCGAACCCAGCCAAACTAAACAACCGAACTAACACTTCATGTCATACTTGTAGTTTCAATAAGTCTAAATACCTTGTTCTTTACTGGCCGAGCTAGTGGACTACCTAAGGTTCGCGCAGTACTGTGCTAGAAAGCCTTACCCGCCAACCGAGCTATAACTTGGGCTAAACTAGCTCCCTTAGTCAAAACCGAACTAGGAATGTTGTTCCAACAGCTTTAACTGGGCTAAAGTCTCTCGCTCAAATCGAGCTAAGAACGATAGTACCCCACGTAGCCGAGCTAGGACTTTATTTATCTTTCCTTTGTTTCTTTCAGCACGGTCCAACGATCTGTGCTTAGCACCTTTCTTTTTTACTTTGCAGACTCTGACTAGGTTGCCCAAGCACTCCTTTGAACGTTCGACCGAGATATCCAGCATCTTTTCAGTGCCGAGCTAACACTTAGGCTAATTTATACAAAATTTAAACACATGGGAAAGTATAGGTTTTTAGTAAACTCACCAAGTGCTATGGCCGAGTTTCGAAGGGATTACCATATCCCTGATGATGTCCACCTCACCCTAGCCGAACTAGATGTCACACCTTGGGGAAACCCTGGTTTTGTTCCCTTTACCCTTCTTTCCATTGTAGAAACCGGACTAAGATTCCTTGTACAACCTCTTCTTTGTGAATTCCTTAAGCAAACCAACCTCTGCTCTACCTAGTTTTCCACAAATTCGTATCGTATAATAAATGGTATTGCCGAGCTAAACCGCCGGGCTAGCCTTAACGTCAGTTTAGCTGAGCTCTTCCATCAATACTCCACAGGATCGGCTGAAGATGGCTGGGTTTACTATTTAAGAATAAGGCGTCGTCGTGAAAAGATAATAAAGAATACCCTGGATAAAGATGTAAACGATGATGACTTCTTCTGGGTTTCTCGGTTTTGGTTTTCTGCTTTTCTTTTATCTCGGTTTTCTTATGTTGAACTGCACTGATTGTTGTCTTCTTTTCTTCATGCAGATTTGAACTTTCTCAAGTCCCAGTATAGCTATCCCAACTTAAACACACTTCGCGCCGCACTGCGATACCCTAATAGAAGTTGGGCCGAGCTACTGAATTTTGAACCGACCTACCGATATAGTAGCCGCAGGAAGACCAGAGTGATCGATTTCCTCCTTAAACCTTCGCCAGAGCCAGATCCATCCTTGCCTCAAATCAATCTCATCCCACTAACTGTCGAACAAGAAATGGCCAAGAAGAGAGCCGTAAGAGCACTCCTCATCGAGACAAACTGGCTCGAGGTACCACAAGCCGGTCAAACCCAGAAGACCGTGGTAGCCCTGCCATTCCAACAACCTGAATCGTCTCGGACTCGTAAACGCGCTCGGTCTTCCACTACCAGGCTATGCCTCGTCGATGAGGACGAAACTGTGCTTCCCTCAATCGAAGTACCGAGCCCACAACCTGAGAGCCCAGACCGAGCTAACTCTTCTGATTGGGCACCAAGATTAACACATCAGAATCGAGCCATCAGACAAACAGATTCAGTGGTGGCAGATAAAGATCACATGCTGGCCTCCAACCTGGCTAAAAGCGTGTGTCTGCCCCCTGATATGGATCGCCACACCCACCTTACCGAGCTAAAAGCTATCTGCTCGGCCACCAAATCAATGGTGCTGGTGAGTACTCTTTCCTTTGTTTTCCTGTTTTGTGCAACTGTTAGCTCGGTTCTCACTCAAAATTGCTTACCACGTTTATGCAGGCCATGCAAAAGAACCAGATTGCTCATAAGCGTGTGCTAGAGCTACGCAAAACAATAAGGCAAGCCGTGGCGGAGGCTGACAAGAAGACGGCCGAGCTAAACAAGGCCAAACAAAAAATGGCCAAGCTACAATCTGAGGTCGCCTGCCTCACCGGTCTAGTTGACTTAGCCGAAGTGGACAAACAAAAAGCTTTGACCGAGCTGAAGGACTACTACCTGCGTAAGCTTGCCATAATTGAGGAGAAGAAGAAGGCCGAGATAACTGAGTTGGAAAAGAAGATTGAAGAAGCGGAAGACCGCGGCTACAAAGAAGGCGAGGCAACCTATATCCTGCAGTGCGAAGTTGGGAAGGACTTATTCTTCAAGTGCGGGTGGAAAGCGGCAGTGGAACAGCTCGGTCACGGTCCAGAGACTAAGGTTTTCCTGAACCCTCCAGCGCACTTCATGCCAAGCTGTATGGCGGAGTTACAGCCGCCATTCAACAAAAATTCCTTGAATCTGAGGATGATGAAGAAGAGACTGTGCCTAACAATGCCTTGGTCATCAATGATCCTGCCATCC